GTGAGCCTGTGAGCCTGGACAGAACCAAGTTGAGATCCCACTGAGGGGCTGGGTACTTGAGGAAAGAGTCTCTCGAGGCCTCTAAGGAACGTGACCGTCATGTCATAGGAGAACACAGTCTGCCCCAGGAAGGGTGGATGAAAGGCCAAAATGGCCGCCAGATGCACCCTGATAGGAATGTGCCAGGCCCTGGTTCCTCAAATGAAGCAGGTAGTCTAAGATCGACTGCACCAAAGAATGCAAAGGTGGCCACCCAGTGGGAGAACCTCGTCCACTTTGCCAGGTAGGTCTGCCTAGTCGAGAACTTTCTACTCTCGAGGAGGACGTTCTGGACCCCTTCCAAACAGGCCCGTTCGTTTGGGTTCAGCCACGCAACATCCACACCGTGAGGTAGAAGGACGCATGGTTGGGGTGCAAGAGTCGTCTGTGATCCTGTGACAGCAGGTCCAGTCAGTTTGGCAGGGGCCAGGGTGGGATCGCTGACAAGCTTGTTAGCGTCCCGAACCAGTGCTGGCAAGGCCACACCAGGGCGATCATGATAACCTGCACCTTGTCCCTCTTAATTTTCACTAGGACCTTGCTGATGAGTGGAATCAGAGGGAACACATACATCAGGCTTCCTGCCCCCAGCAGGAGGAAGGCATTGGATAGGAAACTCTTGCCCAGACCCCGTCTGGAGCAAAACCTGCAGCACCTCCTGTTCTGCCTGGTGGTGAAAAAATCCACTTGGGGAGTTCCCCACCTCAGGAAGATCATGCCGGCTACCTCCAGGTGGAGCACCCACTGGTGGTGAGAGGAGAAGTCCCTGCTTAGGTGATCTGCTAGTGTGATCCTGGCACCCAGAAGGTGACACACCTCTAGATGTATTCTGTGGTTGATGCAGAAGTCCCAGAGACAGAGTGCCTCTTGGCAGAGGGCCAGATTTTTTTGTTGTTCACCAACAGGTCGAGGTGATGGCAGGTGGCTAACAGCATCGCAATATCCCTTTGGACAAGGGACCTTGCTCTGACCTTGACTAGCGAGTTGTCGAGGTGCAGGTAGATCTGGACATCCCAACGTCTGAGGTAGGCAGCCACCACCGACATGCACTTGGTAAATACCCATGGTGCTGTCGCTAGGCCAAACGGGAGGACTGCAGACTGACAGTGGTTGCATCTGTGTCCTTTGAAGATGGCGATGTGAAAGTACACATCTTTCAGATTGAGAGTGGCATACCAGTCTCCTGGATCCAAGGAAGGGATGATGGAGGCCAGGGAGACCATGCAGAACTTCAGCTTTGCTAGGAAGTGGTTCAGGTCTCGCAGGTCTAGGATAGTTCGTAGACTGCTGTTGGCCTTAAAAAGTAGCAGGAATAGAACCCTTTGTTCTTGAACTCTGGAGGACCGATCTCCACCGCACTTAACTGCAGTAACCCCTCTACCTCCTGCATGAGGAGACTCTCGTGAGAAGGTTCCCTGAAGAGGGACGGAGGGGGTGGGTGGGAAGGAGGGGTAGAAAACAACTGAAGGGTGTAACCCCGCACCACCATACTGAGGACCTATCAGTCCAATGTTATAGATGCCCACCCAGGCAGGAAAGGAGAAAGGCAGTTGGCAAAAATAAGTAATCTATAAACACTAATAGAAAACTATACAGTGTATACAGACGATAACTAGTTCGTACGAACGAGCAGCTACAGCATTAACTGAGGCAGCAACAGTTTCAGCACCATTGCTGGTGGCAAGAAGGAACTGAGGGTGGGGGGAACCGGCGGCGCCCTATATACCGCAGCATGTGCATGCCACTGCAGGGGGCGCCAGAGCCAGTCCCCTACGGTTACTGCTGAGGGGAAAACTTCCAGCCCCGATGCATGTGGCGAACACACACACCTAAGTTGAATGGATGTGAGCAATCACTCGAAGAATGTGGTCTTAATGAAATGACTGTCAGGTGGGTGCAATGAGTGATTATCAATGGTTCACTGTCAAACTGGGAGTGTTGGGAAAATATTTGTAGCCAAGTGTGCTGCTTTTACTATAGGTATAGTCATTATTTTATATTTTAAATAGATTAAACAGGAAATTAACAAAAAGAATCAAACAGATAACACAGCTGTTCTTTGTTAATTCTGATAGTGCCATTGTCAACAAGGAGACAAAGACTCTATTAACTACTTGAATTGATACCCATTTTATCTACCTGAGACTTGGAGGAGTAAACTGTGTCAATGCATCTAAAAAGATCTGTTAAATAAATAGTCAGTGAATGTATAATTAACTGATGTAGACAATGGGGAATTGCTATTGATTCTGCTGGGACTGGGACTAACTTAATTGAAGCTGAAAAATTCCTGATCTTCAAAAGATGCTCCAAAAGATTTTTGTATAGTTTTTTTAAAATTTCCTTGGCACCAAATCAGTGGTTAAAAGCATAACTCAGTTAGTATACTGCTTACATTTAAAAAATATTTTGTATGCATTCCCTGCTTTTTACTGTAAGAACAATGTTGTATCAAGGGCAAGAGGTTCCAGGAGCTTGTGGGTGACTTCCATTTTTGTCAGGGAGTGTGGTAATTTCATGTTCTATGACTCAGTAAATCTTTTATTTGTGCAAGGTTATGTAAGTCTCTAAATTGTCTTTTGAATAGCCTCTGACTCTGGCAATAACCTCCATCATATCTATGAGAAATGTATGCACTATGATTCATATGCCCATTCCTAATCTCAAAACTACACATAGAAGAAACTGTAATATAGGAAAGCACTTAAGCACATGCTTTGCTTTAAGATCACACTTAAATCCCATTGATTTAAGTCTGTGCTTTTCTGAATAGAGAGATGTTTTCCCAAATCAGAGCTTAGAGGCTAAAGTCTATGTTATCTCAACAGTTTTTGGTCGGTGAACCTGATTTGAACTTTCAGAAACTGATTTTGTGCACAGCTAATTTGCTCTTGGGATTGTTGTGGCTGTATATGGGAACTAAGTAACTGCAAATGGGGCTACTTACTGTACCTATTTTTGCCTACAGTTACCTGCTTTGTGTGTGAAATCATAGTAAATTCATGCATAAGATAGCTGGGCATTTTGTGTGCATAAGTGCAGACCTAACTAGTTTGAAAATCTCACCTTAACGCTATCTTATTCTCAGAAGCCAGCACCTTATTTTCAGTTAGCATTACCTGCAGTTCCACCCACTGATGGGGAGCAGTCAGTCTTTCTGCCTTGTCCTCCCATTGGAGAGCAATGGGACTCTTGAGGAAACTGACAAGAAACTGCAATATTTACATTAGTCAGCCATGCATAGTCTCACCTTTGGCTTTCTGACCATGCTAGCTTCAGCAAAGTTACCAGGTGTGGTGATTTCCAGGAAACAAACTGGCTTTTAAAAACTAAATTCTCATGCCCTGCAATGTAAGTTACCTGGGAAAAGCCTGCAGAAGGGTGTAATTAGAACTGGTTGAAGGGTAACTTCCCCTCCATGTACTTGAAGTATGAATATGCTTTGCTGCCCTCTGCTGGTATGAACAGTACCTGGATAACAGTTCTTTAGCTTTCTGGGTAGAATTCTGTGCTTCTGGCACCTCAGCTGGAATCTTCAGTGTACAGAGCTGCCCGGGATGTCTGTATTGATGTGCACAGAGGATTGGATCTCCAGGTATGCCAGAGCAGTGTTCAGTAGATCTGAAGGGGGAGGCCAGCCCAGGTGACTTTCTACCACTCTGGCCCATTGCAAGTTAGAGCTTGAAGGCTGCTCTAACTTGCACCAATGGATAATAGGCCCCTTAGACACAGATCCATCGACCGGAATCCCCATAGTGTATTGCACTCTGAACCTACGGGGTGAATTCCTGACCCCATTGTAATCAACAGCTTTGCCACTGACTTCAATGGAGCCCCCACCCACCTTCTCCTGGTCCTGAATCAGCCTAGCCTATGCCAGAATTTTTTCCTATTACAGACACTGTAACTAAGAACTCTGAATTTCACGTCTACTGCTTGAGTATACATACAGCATTGAGTAAGCTTCCACAATACTGTCCCAGAATGCACTGGACTCAATGCCAAATTTGGAAAGAATTCATTGGGGACTGTCTCTTTTGTTGTTCTAAAGTTCTGGATGGGATAGGCCCAGGGCATTACATTGCTGCCATGTAAATGGACATAATATTTACCTACTAGATCATGTATGCAAAGCTCTACGCGATTCTGTGATGGATGGTGCTAGAGAAGGATAGCCTGTTATGTTGTTAAAGGTAGTCTTTAGACTTAAAATTAAAAGCTGCTAAAAATAGTACACTGAAATATTCTGCCTGGATCAAGCCCCAGGATCTGTTGTTAAGCATTTTTCAAGCCTTTGCAGTCCTTTTTGCAGCTTGGTGTTCGGTCTCTCACCACCCCAGTAACTGGCCTCTCTTCTGTGTCACTTGTTAATAATACACGTTTGTCCACATAGTGGTTTTAACTAAAACAAACAAAGTGAACTGCAGGAGAAGTGCAAAGAAAAATAAATGTGTATTTCATCTCACAAAGGTTAAGTCTCTGGCATATTTACTGGATGCAAGTTGTCCATTCTGATACTTTGAGACCATTTTTTTTAAACTTTCCTCCATTTCCCTTAAGATTGCAACGATTTTTTTTTTAATTTCACACATATACATTTTCTTAGCTGTCACTCATCCATTTGAATTCTTAATTATTTTTCCCAATTTAAGCCAGTATTTACCAGCACTCTTTTGTAAACTAGTTTTCCCCCCAGGAAACTGCCAACTCTGCATCTCATCCTGTAAGGTAGTCAGCCAGGCCCAGATACACATTGTTTCATGCTCAATGTTTCCATGTAAAAGTCTGTGTACTTAGCTTGTCAGTGGTAATCGTGTAAAACCATCTGTGATTGTATAATTTAATATCGTAGCTATTCTAATAGAAGACTGTAGGTCATTCCCTTGGAATCTATCCCTATAAAATGTACAGTGCACAAAATCCATGATTGAAATGTACAGAGGAAATTACACATTCACACAAAAAGTCAATTTGCTATATTACAAGAGAAGTGTTTACCATTCAATACATACAAAATGTTTAAAATTGTACATATGTACGAAAGGCATTATGAAATATTCTTTGGAGCTGGAACAAAAGTGCAAAAAAGCCAAGGCAACAGAGCAAATTAAAGGAAGCAAAGTAGCTGTCTTTGCTTTCTAAAGGACAACCAAACTTTAATGCTTAGTTGAGTGTCTGTGGAATTTTATAAACATGCTTGAGAGGGAATACACTATCACCCAGTCAAAACTCTGGGGTAAGGTGAAATTCATCTCGTTGCAGAGAACCAGCACAAAGTATATGTGCTATCTATCTTCCAATTAAACCCTACTCAGACAGATCCTCTGCTGGTGTAAACTGTCATAGCTTTACAATGGAACTATGGCAATCTACATGAGCAAAGTCATCTGCCCCTAGGTTGAGGACGTATGTGGGACTTCAGTAGTACCTAAGTCTGCTGCAAACCCTCTGCTGAGACAGATTTCATGCCAAAGAAGAAATCCAATCACAATTCATTCAGATATGTCTTATGTTGGAAATCTTAATTATTCTTCTTCAGGTATTTTATTTTTTACTTTAAGTCTTTGAAAGAAAGACAAATACTACATGGGCCAAGAGTGTTGGTAACACTTTAAAAGATTAATAAAACCACAGGGGCTGATTATTATATGTACTGAGACATGACAGCTTCTATGGATTCAGACTGGAGGCCAGGGTGCCGAGCCACCTGGAAAATCAGGTCCTTAATTGCTCAATATTCATTGTTGTATTCATCTCAGCCTTCAGAGACTGAGTGGTGTTTGTGCAGTTACTAGGCCAAGGTTTTAAAAAATGGGTGCTTAAATTTAGGCACTGAAGTTCATATGTAGAAACCAAAATTAAGGTCAAGATTCATGGCCCATTGAAGTCAATGGGAGTCAACTGCTGAGATCCATGGGGACATACGACATTTTTTTCATGAATCTCAGAAACTCACACTTTGTTTTAGTAAAGATTGAGCCCATATCAAGTTTTGCCCATGTAGACAGATATGTCTGAAATTGGCACTCTCTAAGGGATGTTCTAGTCCCACTGGAATCAATGGAAGGTTGGCTATTGACCTTGGTTGTGGCAAGTTTTGGATGCAGAATTGGTACTGGCCCATCCAATAGATTTGCTTTTAAAAAAACAAAACCAAATCAATTAAATGATTGTGTTTTTTAAATTTCTAAATGGGCTGTGATTCCTTTCTAATTGGACTTCCTAGTTGGGATATGAATCTGTGTCAGTCCTGTTACAAATCAGAATGGTTTTCCATTTTGATATAAATGTTATCAAAATAGTCTTTCCTTTTGGTTTGACTTATTTACTCAGATGAGAAAATAACGTACTTTCTTTTCATCTTATATGCATTTTTCTGCTTCAAAGCATGCAGTGTATATGTCTATGCACACACATAAATATATGTACATGTGTGTCCAAACACACACACACCACCTTTTGCAGCCAAAGCTATGTTGTCCTTTTATCTTGCAGTTCATGACTGAGATACTTTATACATCATTCTATCAGTACAGTATTTATAGCTCAGATGAATAACAATGAAGAATATATAGAAATACAGTATTTTAAGTATTTCAAAAAATTAACACTCCAGAAACAGTTTCACTTATTTTTGCTTTCTGGTAAAATATGTTTAGAAGCATTCAAATGCAGGGTATCCCTTAACAAATGAGGATTTCCCCCTCCCCCCCCCCGCCCCGGTACTTTGAGTGACATCACAAAATAGGCAGGTAACACTTTATATCTGGTGTCTATGGAACGCATACAGGCTAAATTACATGTAACAATATCTATCAGCAATTGGCATGTAATGTGCAGTTCTTGTGTGCTTCAGGAAGTTACTCTGCCAAAGTGACACTAACAAGAAATCTCATAAATACAATGCCTTTACTGATGACACAGGAGTATAGTTTTCGTATATGGGGCATTCCTGTTAAAGTACAGTGAAGTCCGCATATTTGAATTACTGGTAAAAGAATGAAACATTTATAAGAATAATTTATTTCATCTCCCAAACAATTTTATACATGCCTTAGTCATGGCAACTATTTAAAAACCTGCTGTTAGATCAAAACAAGGAACATAATAACCCCCCCTGTAAATGATCAGTTTTACTTTTTTTTCTGAAAACTTCAGATTCTCCACCCAGTGCTTGACTTTGGAAGCTGTGTAACCAGCACAAAATGTTCTGCTTAAATCTTGGGAAGAGGGTAAGGTAGTTGTTAGCGTAACCAGCATGGAATAGTCCACATTCTGGTCCTAGAACAGAGGATCTCAATCTCCAGAACAGATGCTAAGCCAGCGAAAGGGACAGTGCTTGCTCATTGGCTGGCACAGAAGAGCCCAAACACCAGGAGGAGTTGTAATGACCATCATCACCAGGGACTGAACTGAACCATCCAGAGCTACAGCTTGAACTAAAGGACAAAGCCTTCCAGCTGGCAGCTATAGCAGATTGGTATTCTGCATGGATCAGGCATAGACAGAGATAGGTTACGCACACCAAATGGTGGGTTAGTCAGTGTATTTGTCAATTTTAAAATACTACAGTAAAACAACTACTTACACTGAAATAGAAAGTGTCCACTGCATGCTAGAGTGGGGAGAAATTAGCCAGGCTGGGTTCAGACGGTGTGCCCACCTCTCCTTGTTCGGTGGGCGGAAGGAGAGATTGTCCCCCAAGTTTCAACTTAATTTCAAATGTACCTTAATTTCCAAGTGAAACTCAGCTGCTACCACCATGTTTTCACCTGGTTTCAGATCAGAACCATCCAAACTGTAGAGATCAGCTTGGTTTCTACCCGAAACCATCAGCCCTGCCCCAGCACCTGAAAAACAGGCCCAGTTTGGCATGAAACTCTGCCTGAGCTTTGCATTGAATCATATCGCAGCTAGCTCTGGTTTCACCGGGAATGAGGGGAGACGTCACAACTGCAAGGAGACCAGTTCTCACATTGTTTGTTTTATCATGATCTGCTATTGACGTGATACCAGCAGCATGTTGGGTGCTGAAGAGATGGGCAAAATGGGTTCAATCTAAACAAACGAGGGACATTTTGGACCCACAGATGGCTCCATGGGGTGAAAAAGCAATAGTGGATGAAAAGCAAACACCGATCCATGAACTGATATATACGAGATTGTAGGGGTGACTGTGGGGTGTAGTCATGTGAAAAAACTCAAGAATAGGGTTGCAGCCCTGCCAAGGCAGTAGCTTCCCCTGTATATGGTCTGGACTAGCAACACGGACGACAAGGGACCTGGTGGGCACAAACAGGTACTAGATTATTAGAATCTAGCAACAAAATAATGCAGCAGGGACTGAGAATTAAGGAGCATGATAAAATTTTAAGGACAGTCTCTGGAAGGGGTACTGTGATGCTCTGTGGGAACTAGCATCAAGACGTTTAGTGGGCGTTGAGGGTGTTCAGCACCTCACAAGACCAGGTAGAAAAATGATCAGCTACACGGTAGAAACAGTTGGGTAACTTTTCAAAGGGTGGCCTCTCTTCCCATGGGTCTAATTTTCATTCAAAAAGTTTGTACTCTCATTTTTGCACCCACAATTGAACTGCAGGCACAAGGGTATAAATACCTGTGGTCCCCATTACCCAGTTGGAGGTGTCAATGAGATCACAGTGAAATTAGAGTGCTCTCATCTCCTCCCACAGTGAATTGGACAGGCAAGAAGTGTGCATTTGCCAGTTCAGTGGTTTCAAGTTGCATCCACTAAAGTGGAGCCCTTCAACATATGTACCCCAGTATCCCCCCTCCTCAACGCTTTCCATAGCCCTCCGGATAGGGTATTCCCCTACTCCCCCTCTAGCATGCTCCTGTTATCACCGCCTGCATGAAATGCACAAGATTTCATGCACAGCCAACCACCATTCTTTTTTCCATATGCATATTTCTACAAACCTCTTCACCAGTGGGTGCACATGACACATGTATGCACCCCTCAGAGTCACATGTAGTAAAACCAGAATTGATGCGTGTCAGACCAGACATCAATAAATTAATCACAGTATCAGAGACACATGGTATATTAATGTTACCTAAAAAACCCATTGGGTTGTTAATGAACTTTGACACCCTATACAATATATAACTGACAGCATGTTTGGTTTTTAAAAGAAAGGTTTTGCAATTACTTTTTAAATTCTATTTCAGATACAGATATAAGGGTATCAATTTCTACTCATCTCAGATAGCATGCACTAGCAGGCAAAATCGAGAGTACAGTATGTGACCGTCTGGAAAGCACATTCATATGTTGTAAATGAACTCTCTGCCCCTCCTTGGTTCATCTGATAGGAGGGGGGCCACAAGTGACTCTGGCTGATATCTAAAATCTGAGCTTGGTTACTATTGTATCAAAATATTGTATATGGCCTTTCCGTCTAAACATAATGTAAGGCAAGCAGTATAGTGCCAGTGGAGAATCAAACACTAGATACACTAAAGATTCCTACGTATTTATATTAATTCTTTTTTTAAAAAAACAATCCCTAGCCCACACCCTGACATTTTAAATAATGTGCAGGTTGTGATATGAAGTGGAGAAGTCAGGGACTGTAAAGGGAGAAGTTCTCCTTTCTCAACATTGAGTAATAAAATTACCCCCACAAGAACAGGACCAAGATGTAGAGGAGTTGGTTTCCATTTGAATGTCCATCACATTATCGTTATGTCTCTGCCTCCCTTCCAACCCTGATATTCTATGATTCTAAGAGGTTTTGTATCTGATTTCCTTGTTTCATTTTTGTTAAATGATGTGTATAAAATGAAAGCTATTGACCCGAGAGAGAACGCAAAGGGAGAGTAATATGGCTCCGGCTTTAACTGGCAGCCACTGCAACCCAGGTACAGTGGCAAGTCAATTTGGGGAGGATTGCTGAGGTTATGCTCAAAAGTGGGAGGTGCTGGATGGAGAAGGCGGTGTGGCCAGCACACTCTGAAGACATGTGCTCGCTCAGTGCATTCCTTGGGCAACTCCGCAGGCAAGGCTGATGGGAACACTATGCAGAAGTCCTATAGGGTTTAATAGAACAAGCTAGCCTAGCTATAGGGTTTTAGACCTTTGTCAGAACGTAGTAGAGAATTTACATCCTTGCTATGGAACTTTATAGGATGGTTAAAAAACAAAACAAAGAAACCTATAGGAAGGACAGAATTCTTTGTTACATTCTATAGGACTTTGTCCAAAGGAAAGTACCAGCTGAAAGCTAAAGCTGCCCTTCTTTGCAAAGAGCACCCGCTTTTTCCTAAGAATGAATGTCCCATTTGGGGTACAATAACTCCAGCTGCCGCAGGGTCCACAGTTTACACGCCCTGCTCCAAGAGCACTGAATTGAGCTGTTCCGATATAACGCATGCTTCAGCCTGTAAGGGAAAGGGGAGAGGGAAAATCCAAATCTTTCAAAACTGCATGAGACTGCAGAAGCTTGAATAAATCAGCAGCTTGCAGAGCACAGAAGCCTGGCACTGTTTTTGCAAACCCTTAGGTAGTTTTTTTTTTAAGAACATTTATTTTATAGCTGACAAATGAGAATTATACGTATGGATCTGGGGTTTTGCACTTACTGAGCATAATGTGCTGTAAGGGTCCGTTCCAGGCCTTTGTTAAGAACAGAACTGAATAGTAGCTGTATTAGCATGTAGGCTCTGTATATGGTACCTGTCAAACCATGATCTCACTAGAATAAGATGATGCCAATGTACTAACTCTTGCTATAATTACATATATATTTATAAGGGCTTGATTTTACATTGTACAGTTCATTGCTATTATTTATTTTAAATATGCAGTAGGAGAATTCCTAGTCTGCCAGGCACCTTATACTGTCCCACACATGCCGTTTCCGTGCTCAACTGGAGCAGTCTCTGGGCTGCCTCATGCTTCCTAAGTACAACCACCCCGATGGACAGTGTTTGAATGTAGTGGTTGACAGAGAATGAGTTGGAACCTTTGTGGGGGGGAATGTGCACATTCTACCCCAATAACTTTTTTTGGATGTGCCTGATGTTTGGCAAATTCCAAAGAAAAACTATCCCCCCCCCCCCCAAGAAATACCTTGACGAACCCAAAACGAAAGTCACTGCTGGTAGGATTGGGTATAATGGTATCTAGAGAGGGACAAAACCAATGACAGCAGGATTCCAAGGGAGGAAACGGTCGGAAATGGACCACTCTCATTACCACTTCAAAAGTTATTTTTCCTCCCTTGGTATCCTGCTGTCAATTGAATTATCTCGTTAGACTGACCTCACACTTGATAAGGCAAATCACAACTTTTCATGTATTTATACCTGCTCCTGTATTTTCCACTCCATGCATCTGATGAAGTGAGTTCTAGCCCATGAAAGTTTATGCCCAAATAAATTTGTTAGTCTCTAAGTTGCCACAAGGACTCCGTGTTGTTTTTGCTGATACAGACTAACACGGCTACAACTCTGAGACCTGGCATCACAGAAAGGGACAAACTCTCTGAGACAGGGATCCCCACCTCACCACTTGCACTTTCATAGAATAGATCCCTGGAGCTCCAATTGACGACCTGCTTTGACTCCTAGATCTTGTCTGTGATCACCAGGAAGTAGTGGGGGCAAGAAGCCTAACTGGTTCTAAGCTGGAGCTTGATATGTTTATGAAAGCGATTATATTATGTGGTTGTCTGCAGTGATGGGGACTGGACTTCATTACTCTGGAGATCCCTTCCAGTCCTTTATGATGGTCTTATCTGGGACAGCAGAGATTGGGTAGTATCTCTGCAAGGTAGGGCACTCAACTTCTTTGTGGGCTGTCGGGAACAGCTGACATTTCTGAACAGCACCATCTCTGCTTAGTTCAGGAAGATCACTAATGTTGGTTGGACAGCTGAAAATACAGGGATCAGGGAGTGTAAACACCACAAATAATTCAAAAATCTTCATTCAGGGATGTAAGAAAGATGTGGAGCAACTTTCTTCTCTCTTGGATAAATATTATACTTCTTACATTTCAATTAGCATATTTAAATAGTTTAAGTATTATGACTCTTAAGAAATTTTGTTGATCTTTTCCCAACAAAATTCTAACTAAACAAAACAACATGCTCAAGTTAAAAGCTTTGTTTAAATGACATTAGGTTTCTGATCAAACTAAAAGCCAAGTCATTCAAAATCGTAGGGCCAAATTCTATCTTCGAAGCGTGTGTTTATTTGTCACTGCCTTTTCTTGGTATACATCTCAGGGCAGACTCTGGCTCACCGGTCTTGACTGCATTGGGAATTTACCCTGATCCCAGCCACTGAACCTGAAGTGTAGACATGAAGAGCCATGACTTACACTGGCACGGCTTCCCATTGTTGGAAGCATGGCTAAAATCAGGGCAAATTCTTGCTGTAGGCAAGACCATAGCTGCTACCGAGTCATTCCAGCAGGGTGTAAAACTGATGTTTCAGCCCTGACTTTAGATTTCCCCATTTGTTCCAATTATGCCTGATTACCCTGCAAATAGAAATGACTCTACTGAAGATACCTGAATCCCTGAAGCTGCTTTAAAAATATTTTTTTACATACCTGATTCATTACGTGGTTTGCCTAAGGACATGCAATGGCTCTCTGGGTCAAACAATACGTTTTTCATTAATTTCTTTTATATTTTTTGTTTGCTTAGAAATTAATGTTAAGAAAATGAATCAGCAAGGAAATTCACATACAAAATCTACATTTAAATAACATTAAAGTTCTTTCCCAAACGTTGGGAAATTCAACTGGGCTGGTGGCTCTGCTCTTATGACTCAGGGCCATAGTCTCCAAAGGCCTTCTCTGGACCGAGCTTGTGTTGTCTGCAACCTCAGTTCTTTGTGAGATGTGCACAAACTGCGAAATTTGCATTCTAACTTGGACTTTGAACATCCCCAAATTCAGTACGGTTTCATACCCAGTTTTTGAGCTGGCCCATTACAAAGATGGGGGCCATTTGCAACATTCAAAGCAAGATCTGGAACCAGATTTTGAAACCTTTCAAAGTTTCCTGGGGTTTAGATCCTGGGTTTTGTTTTAAGGACACTTCTTCTTCTGCATGCATGTGGACACAAACACAGCTTCTGTATGTCCAAACAGACACAGTTACAAATACCAAAGGTGCAGGTGAGAAGGCCCATTGAAAATTTGGCTCACAGCTTGTCTGGAACAGTGTCATTCACTTTGAATTTCCTAGCTTTTCTTGGGCTTGTGTCACAACTTAGCAGCTCCTAAAACTAGTTTCTGTGTTTGAGTGTACAGATTATATAGCTAGAAACACAGAGGTGCAACAGATGCTACAGACAGGCTAAGCAGCAGTGAGGCAGAGGGGAGAAAGTTTCCTTTGCATTTCTCATTAAACATCCTTATTGGAGGACATTTATGAGCCAAAAATCAAACCTTCTCTCCAGAAAATTAATGTTTCTCAACCATCAAACTGAGAAACTCAGAAAACGTTGCATTACTGGCTCTCCAGCAACTGCATATGCAATGGGAGTGTGGGAAGGAATGGAGACAGAAGGATTATGTGAGGAGTCATGGGGAGGATTAGACTGGAATTTGCAATGAGAAAAACTATGTAGGTGGATGAGCAACAAAACCATCTATTAGGTCCAAATTCTGTTCTGAGTTACACCAGTGCAAATCTAGAGGAAACCCACTGAAACCCAGCCGTGAGGTTTTCTTTGCTGTGTAGACGTACCCTAGGTTTACTTGCATGTGCAAAAGCACATGTGTTCCTCGAATTGGGTAATTGTTTACAGTGAGCAGTCAGCTATGCAAATGCAGATTTTTGCATAAGTAAATGGAATTACCTGCAAATATCATGGGTGCATTTTTAGTGGCCCATTAGAAGATGCATCTTTGTGGGCCCCATTGGAGTTTGCCAGCATTTTTGTGCCCACCTATATATACCCTTTTTTGTACATGCTTAAATACAGCTGCATGGGCAAAAGCAGACTTACACATTCATGTGCAGCAATTTTCCATGTAAATGTAGCCTGTGGGCCACATCTTATGAAAGTCAGGCCAGGTGAGTTTAGAGAGAGTGTGGGAATAAGCTGCCCTTTATAAATATGGATTTTAATGTATGATAGTTCCAAATTCAAAGCAAACACTCTTATTGAGGTTAGGTGTATCATACACTAATTACTTTTAGTTAGATACATCACAGGAGCTACTCCAGATTAGGAATTCTAGAGCCAAAAGAAGGCTCCAGGCAGCTTGAGTGGGGAAGAAAGAATTGCAGAATATGGCAGGAATGGGGAGGAAGCTCTGGACGTGCAAAGGTCTCTTGGAGACATAGATGCACAGGACCCCCCTAAAAAGAGTAGGTTTTCTCCCTTTCACTCATATATTGAGGCTAATTGGATTTGAAGATTATATATCATTTCACCCCACCACTCCCAGGCAAGTGCTGCATGTTGGCCCTGACTAGATGTATAAAAGAATTGTTTTATTTTCCCTCCAGAAACCAAAAAGACCCACCTGTTCAGCAGGGGATTTCCTGCCCTGGTGGGTGAATCTCACAGACTCATAGACATTAAGGCCAGAAAAGACCATCGTGATCATCTTGTCTGACCTCCGTCTCCCTGCAGGCCATAAAACCTCCTCCACCCACTCCTGCAATAGGTAACCTCTCACTGAGTTACTGAAGTCCTCAAATCTCGTTTTAAAGACTTCATGTTCTAGAGAATCTTATGGAATCACATTGAGTTCCGGGACAAGAGCTGTATGTGTCCCTCTAGGTGGTGTTTTATGGCTGCCAGATTGTGTGCACCCCCCGATACCATTGAATTGCAGTGTGTTATTCCTAAATTTGTCTTTTTCCTCCTTAGCTTCCCAGGCTGCTTCTCCTAATGACCAGAAGGAACGAATACACCAGGTTTCTCCTCTCACCACCAGCAGGTCAACCTTTCAAAATGGAGGGATCACACCTGTATTAGGTGCAGCAAGGCCTAAGGGACATGGGGGCATGTCATATATTTGAAATATCATGAAAATTGGCCATTGACATTGGCAGGGGGGCGGGGGAGGAGAGATGGACACAAATAGCTGGCACAGTCCTGACTCCACTGAAGTTTATCCCTTTCAGAAAACACACAAGGTGTAGGGCTTCAGTTAAATGGGTGGATTTAGTGGGCATGGCAATGGCTCCTGTGTAGCAGCCCTGGTTGTTGATCCAGATTCCTATGACCCATCCCCTTGAGTGACCCCTGCCGCACTGGGACAGTAAAGGATCACTTTGTGACTTTGTTTTGGTCCTGAAAGAAACCTCCTGCATCGTCAGTTTTCCCCCAGCTTCATGCGCCAATAACAGTGACATGATCTTTACCTGGCTTTTCAAGAGGGAGTGAAAGAGAAAAAATAGAAAGACTTCCACTGCCAGCCCTTGTGGATAAATACAGGTCACAGATGTATAAAAGAAATCAGGAGGAAACAAGGAAGCACCTCGTGACTCAGCATGAAGGATCTAAACAAAACAATGGAGAAGTCCGAAGGACAGCTTTGTGATCCAGGATCGGGTAGTGGAGGAAAGGAGGAAGGAACTTTGCTGCAAAAGCATCCAGGCATAATGCGAATGGTGTACGAAATGGGCAATATTTTGAGTTACAGGGCTCAGGCGCTGCTGGTGCTCTCGTTCCTTGCCTTGCAACAGCAGAGGGGTCACAGTATCTCGAGGAACGTCCCTCTCCCCATAGCTGTGTCTCTTGTGGCTGTAAGTTCACCACAGTGCTGCTGGCAATATCAAAAATTACGACAGCAACTTCAAGTTACTACAACCCCGTAGGTGGAATTATGGCTTCCCGTTCTGTAAATTTTGGCGGGTACACTATTAAATATAATACATGGTTTAAATGTAAAATGCCTTATCCCATGTCCTTTGTGATGTTCCTCTTTGCCTTCAAAGACAGATTTTGTGTCTTTGACCTTCCTCCTCCACCTAAGCCATGTAGCAAATTTAATTTGAAAATCATTCTGGTTCCAAATGATGCCTGCTAACATTCTACCTCGACTCATCCTGACAGCATACGTCTTTCTTAGGGCAATACTGTAACGTGAAAGTAAACATCCCAATTTGTCAAGAGCCAACTGGGCTTCCATGAATTGTATGGTAATCACACTACGTTCCCGAATGGTTAATGGAGGATCACGTTCCGTAAATTCAAAAGTAATCATCGTGTAACCTGGAATGTTTTACAAGACAGAAATAATCATGTAATCGCGTTGCACCTCTAAAGTATTTGACTGTAATCACCCAGTATCATGGTATGGTAATTACCATGTAAAAGATATGTTCAGTCACCAGTTAACCCCCTTCCCCCCAAAAAAAACCCTTGCAGGTGATATTTGTTCCCTTTACCCTAAAGGATTACCAAGAAATGTGGTTGCCTACCCTGTACTGTGATATCGTTTCACCTAATTATCTTAGAAAGATAGTATGAAAGAAATCGAGACACTTCAAGGCTCCGAATTATTCACCACAGTGGCCTCTTTCTACTGAATGCTGGCTCAGCGTCTGTCCCCAGAGTAAGCTGTAAGAAAATATCCACAAGCTAAGTATGTTCTGGATTCATAAAACCTTAGCTGTAGATCTCCTCAAGAAGTTCGACATGGGGATGGCATGAATGGGTGGCTGGCCAGTGCTCTGACTTGGCTCAATAGATGTCAAGATGCTTCACTGTCTAGGGGCTGACCAGCCCATGTCACTGAAAGGTCCTTCACCTGTGGCTGATCTGGGAGGTGGGCCACAAGGTGTGCAGAGGTCAGAATCAGTGTCTGACTCTCCTTCTGCAATGTAGGGTCTGATTTTGGCACAGGGAGCCACTGCTGCATAGCAACCGTTGTTAAGGATGTCCAAATTGTCTTTGGACTGGGAAATGCTAAATCCACTAAAGGAGCGTTCCAGTTCCTCGTGATCGACTGACGGAATGGAAATGGACGTGTCACTGTCTCTCAAGGCGCTGTCATGGTGTTTAGCTGTAATGTCTTCGTTCCTCAGGCACTCAGCACTGGCCCTCTTCCCGCTACTGTAAGCGGACAAGGAGCGCTCATGTGAAGGTGGGGGCGGGATTCTTACCAAAGAGCCAGGATCTCCAACTGGGGAGGATCCATGGCTATGCCGCTGGTATGGCTGGTGCTGCCAGGACGTTGAAGGGGGACATGTGTTGGTTGGCATTGTTGGGGCTGGTGGTGCAGAGAAATTCTTTTGTCCCATTGAACTGGTAGACCTGACGATCTTGATGATGCAGCCATTTTTGTCCATGTGCTCCCGGCTGTCTTCTGGACTGTGGTAGGGTGGCGCCGGGTCTGGTTCTTTGGACCCAAAATAGGCTTCTGCTTCCGTTGATGGGATACCCATCCTCTGCATGTAAATGTTCACCAGAAAGTCCAGCTTCTTCTCCATGGACAGAACCTGCAAAATGCCACACAGTTCCCCATGCTGGGTGATATCTATGGACCAATACCCTGTATCCAAAGAGCTCTACTCCAGTCCATGCTCGAATGGGGATCTGAATTTCATAGATAACCCCTTCCTACACTGGCACAAACTGGACTTCCTTGAACTTTTGAGAGAGAGCTGGGATCCAAATCCAGTCTGAACTTTGGCAAGGACCTCTCTCCTTTTATGGAAGATGGATTTTTAAAAATATTTTTAAGTTATTGTACCCAAAACCCGCCATTTAGAGCATTCACTTGTTTCTGCAATGGCCTTTGTGTTTTCTTTAAGCAAGCATAAATGCTTGTGAAATGTGACAGATTTCAATAGGACTGGAGAACACTCAGCACCAGGCCAGAGGTGCTCAGCACTTCATTGGGTCAGGCCGTTACAGTGTGTGTATGGGGACTTTGAGTGGGCCTTGTGCTCTGGAGTGAATTTCACCTTGAACGAGGCATGGATCCTGTGGCAATAAAAATCACACCAACGGCTTTACTTGAACTTGTTTAGGTTAGAAAGGGAACATTTCAAAGGCACCTAGGTCACTTTGGAACTAACGTTCTGTTTTCAAAAGGGACTTCGAGACTTAGGCTCCTAAGGACCTATGACTTTCAGTGTGTCTTAGGCACTTAAGGCTTAGATCCTCAAAGGTATTTTGGTGCCTAACTCCCATACCTTTGAGTCTCTGGGCTTTAAGTACCTAAGTCACTTTTATAAATAGGGTTTAAGCTGCCAAGTTATTTAGGCACATTTGAAAATTTTATCCAAATCTTTCCTCTATTCTTAATCTTAACTACTTTTAAAATCTCAACACACAACATGAACTTTTTCCTTATAAGTAACATCTGCCCCCATACCTGCTTTTCAACTTTTCCAAGCCTGCCCATCATGCTTGGGTCTTCTGGAAGCTCCCCCTCCGCTGGCCCTTTCGTTCGATCCTTGTCTGTCATTGATGTCCCTCGTCCAACAATCTGGTCAACTCTACCAGGAACAGAAACAACCCCCCCACCCAGAAAAGGCCGTTGAGTTAGTCAGATACATCAAGGAAACAGGACTCTGCTAGCTGCTGGCTCTTTGTGGACAAAGCAACAACCTCTCTCCCAACTACCCCTCAAAATTACTTACACAAACAGGGAGAGGCAGCTGAGTGTTATCTTTGATGTAAATAAGTCGCTATATTTTCACAGTAGTATTAGCAGAGTTTGAAATCTATCAATACTGTTTCTATAGGTATAATCTGGCACGTTATGCTCAGTAAATTTGCCCACTGGGAGGAATTTCACTCTAAGCAAGGTTTCTACCACATTCATTAGCATTGTATTTGTTACCGGTGATAATTTTGCTGTGGATAAAGTTGTGTGCCTACTTGGTCTAGATGAAATTCATGTTTTTCCACATCTTTACAGCCGAATCTTCTGCCTCTCTCCTACATACTCATGTCCATCGAGATAAGAGTCTTTAGTTCAGCACTGGAATGGTTACATCCCTTATTTATAATCCCTTTTCCCCTGTCTAAGAATTTAAGGCTCCACGTGGAAGTCAGAGGAGTCCACATAGAACAGGGGTGGCCAACCTGGGGCTCCGGAGCCACGTGGCTCTCAGACGTTAACATGCGGCTCCTTGTATAGGCACTGACTCCGAGATACAGGCGCCAACTTTCCAATGTGCCAAGGGGTGCTCACTGCTCAACCCCTGGCTCTGCCACAGGCCCTGCCCCCCACTGCAACCCTTCCCACCCCCTCCCCTGAGCCTGCTGTGCCCTCGCTCCTCTCCCCCCCACCCAGAGGCTGCTGCACACCACAAAACAGCTGATCGGGGAGGGAGGGGGAAGTGCTGATTGGCAGGGCTGCTGGTGGGCAGGAGGCGCTGGGAGGGAGGGATGGGGGGAGTTGATGGGGGCTGCTGACGTATTACTGTGGCTCTTTGGCAATGTACATTGGTAAATTCTGGCTCCTTCTCAGGCTCAGGTTGGCCACCTCTGATATAGGAAGTCACAAGCTAATTATGTTTAATGCATCAAACCTAAATTTGCTCTATAGGTAACTAAACACGGGCATCTTCTGATCTAATAAAAACCAATAAGACATCTCTGAGCTGGGACATATTCTTAATCTTAACCCGATTTATAGCTATCTCCCTAAGCATAATCCTCACAAACTTTACTCATGCATAATGTGCCAGAACTGTAGGTGACAAAAAACAGATTAATTAATCTGGTTGAAACCAAGTTAGTTGTCTTGAGCGGAAATAAAAAATGCTTCTTATGCAATTCTGCAGTGTGGGTAATGGATCCATGCACCAGTATGAGACAAAGAATGGGCTGAACGCAGACAGACAAAGGAAGATTAACAAACAAAACACAAGGAAAGGGATGAGACACAAGGCCACTTCCAACAACAGCGCCATCTAGTTGGCTTTGCTTTTGTGTGTGGAGGGGGGCCTAGTTTCTTATACTTTCTTTTTTTTAAACAGAGGGTGAGATCATCCGTTAATATGCCGTAGCACAGCTCCCTGGACTATATTAGAGAGACAGCAGTTTACACACGCTGAGTATCTGGCTCAGGGAGATAGGGCAGATGAGCACATCATAGCTAAGGTAGCAAATATATAATACGCAAAAATTATTTAATCCAGGTGAACTGATTTAGGTAATACTTTATTTGAGCAGAAATTTTCGGTACTACTACTTCACCTACAAAGTAATGTTTGACCATTTACTTACATGGTGAGTACCATGTGCTATAATTACAAGGGTAAGTAACATACATGCCTTATTTCTGTGTCGTATGCAAAGTGCACATTGTTTACATTCATGAAGACTACCAAGTGGTCAGCAGAAGCATGTAATTATCTACATGGTAAAATCCTACAAAAATGTTGTAACCTTGTAAGCAAAGAGACATTTAACAGGAAAACTGGGGCTATCTTGATTTGGAATCAGAGGCCATGGTGTAGTAAAGTCATACTCTGATCTCCTTTCCTGCATATTTAAACATGTAGATCCAGTAAAACAATGGTAGGGGCATGTGTTTAAAGAAGCCAAAAGTCTAATCAATCCTGATTATTTGGAGAGGCCAAGGAAAGAAGTTGCTTTCTTGTCCTAGTGTAACATCCTGCTGTAGTCATTGTACTGGAAGAGCTTTAGTATTCTATTTGAAACCAAAACCAAAATGTCCTTCAGTAATAACTGCCAACTAAGGAAACAAGAGAGAACAATTTGTAGTATGGAGGAAATTAAGGCAGCCCCACTGGGGTGCCTCAGAGCATGCGCCGACCCTAGAAATACTCTTTTGCTCTTATAACCTTGCTCCAGAATTCACAGATGACAATGTAAGACTCCTATTGACTTTGAGGCAAGTGACTTAGTGATCCAACTATTCAAAGGAGGGAGGGAGTGGAAAGCCTGAGCAATGGGTGCCTTCCTGCAACTTTCTCCAAAACCAGCAGTTGCCTACACCAGCTTACAAAAACTGGCTTAACACACAAGCAAATGAATGCACCACTTCCCAGCTGGTGGGCACAATAATTTGTCCTCCCCAGTGGTATTTTTGTATGTGCATTGTTTGTGCATACAAGTGAGCCTCAGCTTTTTTTTTTTTAAAAAAAAAGTGGCCCTTACAGCTGAACATTGCTGACGAAAGGGAAAATAGAGAATTATTTTATAGCCCTTGTGTTTCGTTTCCATTTTAGAAACATTGTTTGGCTGCATTTGGTGAATTTGGTTACTAATGGCCATCAGAGACTTTCAGCATTGGTTATCAACAGGTATTTTGCAGGCTGGCTACTGTGCAAATTTCCCAAATACACCTTTGCCTACATGTACATCCTTGGCCTACAGCACCCTTTACTGGTCTAGACTTAGGCTCTTGCAGGGCACAGATTGTTAACTCTCCCATTGCATGGTGTTTTCACTGGAATGTAACTGAGACTGACCATAGTAATTTCTGTGTAATGCTTTCTCACCCAGATTTCTAGCAATGGAAGTTAGTGTTAGGATAGGATTTCTAAAGGGGCATATAAGGAAATTAGGCAGCCAATTCCCACTGACTTTCAGTGGGAGTTAGTCCCCAGTGCTTAAGGCATTGTTGAAAATCCCTTCACTTGCAGTACCACTAAGCCCCTTTTTCATCATTTTGTACTGTTTTTTTTTTTCAGTTCAACCCCATAGTGTCCATAAAGTTTCAATGATAAACCAGCACACTTGGTCTTCTTTTAAGCATGTGGCCATAAAATGAAATCAAAGGCATCAATTCTTAAAGCCAGCGCTTCAAAGGCAGGTGCCAGAGTTGTGCCCCAAAGCCTTGTGTGCCAAGCTTTTGTGTGCCCCACTTCCAGCAAATGAGCATTTCAGCACCTAAGTCAGGTAATGATGTACCTAGCAATCCAGCTGTCTGGGCAAATGCTGGGTTTGCAAGCAAAAGGCCTTGTGTGTGTGAGTGTGAGCGTGGGTGTGTGCATGCACTTAAGGGGGCCCCTTTCCCCCTCTTACATCCCTGTGCAGGAATCAGGCACAACTGCATCCCTGTGTTCATGTGAGTGAAGAAAAGGCTCCCTTGCCAGCATCCCTGGGGCACTAGCCACCCCACACAGGGCAAAAAGAGGAGCAAAGCAGGTCGAGAACATGTCACACTTTCCTAAAGGGTGGTGCAGGGTGAGCACTGTCACTGATACTGGGGGAGAATTGAGGAGGCCTCAGGCCTTCCCTAAGTTGCACATTGTTTGCTGGGAGTCCCCCTGGAGCAGTGTGCCTTTACAATAGCCCCAGGAAAATAGCTTGTGCCATAAAGACACTATCTGGTCCCAAGTGGGTGCACTCACAAATTCCTGGGGATTCGTCTTAGGCATCAGCCTTTGAAAAATCTGTCCCTTGCTTTAGATTTGTGACGAAAGAGGATCAAAAGATTGCTGATGGTATGTGACCTACTATATCACCTACGACATTTGCCTGGTTCTGCTGCACCTTTAGTTTGAAAAAGCTTTATTGATTATTATTATATTATTTATTATTAAATTTTAAATAATATCTTTCCTTCTTTTGAATGATACAGAAAAATGTAAAATTCTTGCATCAGCCATGGTGCAGTTTTTCTCATGCTTCATGCTTACAGTTCATGCAAAGAGGTGTGTTGAATGCCACCCTCCGGCCAGAAGCAGACATCAAAGGTCAAACGGCTCAAATGAGGAAAAAATGAAAAGTCTGGAAATATTTATTCAGTTTCTTTTTTTTTTTTTTTACATAACCCAGGCACAGACACCAAACCCCCTTCATCCATGTCACATGACTGGCTACTTCTCTTCTGATTGATTAATAGTATTTGTACGAGACATATTTAATCTAATAATACCAACTACTCATATCTATGCTGTTCAAAAACATAGCTGGGGCTGCCTGGACTTTAAAGTGATTGTATCTTGAATCAGCTGAGCATTCAAAGTTCATGAGCATACAATATGTGCTATACGCTATAGGCTACATTCTGCCATCAGCTATACATTAGCAGTCCGTTGTCTTCACTGTAAGCTATGTACATGTATCTGAAGGCAGCATGTGACCTTACACACCTTTGGGCTGCCAAATACAATCCAATTGGTTGAGAGGGTTCATGTGACTTCCAATTGTTTGGCACCATTGTTCTTCTAGCTCACCAACAGGTGATTTTTATTTTATTTCATGTTTTTTTAAATTGTCTGGCCATCAATTGGCTGAAATGAGGACATGTGATGTAAAACAGAAGAAGCTCAATGCAGGGTAGCTCTGCTGTTGTAGCATATTTAGGGCAAAACCACCTCAGAGCTGGGATGATTATCTTATCACCCATTTAGGGCCAAATCTGGGAGCTCTTACTCAGCTATAATGTTTGCTGTAGTTTTGCCTGAATAAGAATGTCTGGATTTGGGGGCTTGAATCCTACAGGGTGCTGAAAACTCTGGCCCTGATCCATCAAAGCACTCAAGCAGGCGCTTAACTTTAAGCATCTGAGCAGTCTCCATCCACATAAATGGGGCTATTCATGTCAAAGTTAAGCATGTGTTTAAGACAGGTTTCAGAGTAACAGCCGTGTTAGTCTGTATTCGCAAAAAGAAAAGGAGTACTTGTGGCACCTTAGAGACTAACCAATTTATTTGAGCATAAACTTTTGTGAGCTACAGCTCACTTCATCGGATGCATACTGTGGAAAGTGTAGAAGATCTTTTTATATACACACAAAGCATGAAAAAATACCTCCTCCCACCCCACTCTCCTGCTGCTAATAGCTTATCTAAAGTCATCACTCTCGGAAAGTGATCACTTTAGACTTTAGATAAGCTATTAGCAGCAGGAGAGTGGGGTGGAAGGAGGTATTTTTTCACGCTTTGTGTGTATATAAAAAGATCTTCTACACTTTCCACAGTATGCATCCGATGAAGTGAGCTGTAGCTCACAAAAGTTTATGCTCAAATAAATTGGTTAGTCTCTAAGGTGCCACAAGTACTCCTTTTCTTCATGTGTTTAAGAGTTATGCTGGATTGGGGGCAGAGTGCTCAGTACCCTTCAGCATTGAACTCTTGGTCCTAGGGTCCATTTTGGGGCTCCTCTGCTGCCTGCACCCTAGTAAACAAAAACAATTGGGAAAATTAAATGAAAATGGGGCAATAAATACAAAATACCCCTAGGAGCCCCAGAGGTTAAAGCCCAATAATACTGCAGGTAAGAATGGGATTATTTTCTGGTGCTAAGGGTCAGGAATTATTTATATAGCAGGGAAAAAAGTCACCCCAAACAGTGACTTAATTTTAGCTCTGCAGTCAACTGAGGGAGGGTCAAAGTTCCCTGAAAGCTAAAAATGGAAGCAAGTTATAAAAAAAAAATATTTCCCAAGGGGTTATAATAGTGTTATGCATACAAACATGCTGTTTTCGATTGTGGGAGTTATATGCTTGTGAAGGAGCAGTATTAGACTAATACAAAATAGAATTTTTAACATATGGGAGATAATATTATGCCTTGGGTTGAATGAGTGATAATATAAATACCCTCAGTTTGGCATTTGGGGCATCCTTTCCCATTGCTGGTCATTTTTTCAATCTGCAAGGTAGTAATTTTAGTGTATAAATCTCCACTCTAGCCAAGATGTTTTGTACATTGTACATAATATGTAGCTACAACTATATACAATCTGCCCATTTTTTAAAGCGCATTTCAAAATATTGTTATGGCTGAGGAAACAATTTCATGTTTAAAACCTGTTTTCAGGTCCTGAACTTTCAGAAACAACTGTTACCTTTTGGGTTGAAATTTTTCAAGCTCGACCTAAGTTCAAAGTGGGAGGTTTCTACAAGGTGCAATCCAACTGGGTTTTTTTCCATCTTCGAGTTAACAGGGTGTGAATAAATAGGTTTGAAAAAAAAAATTCACACATGTTTCTCAGGCACAGATAACTCAAAACAGTCATGAATCTATGTACTTAGTTCTAAGTGAGGGCAAGCATATTTGGAAAAATATTTTGAAGGAATAACATAGTTATGTTTGAAATCACCTTCTACCTGTGCACCTAATATGACTTTCTACCAAATATATACATATGCGTTCAGGTGTGATGCTCTAGATAAATGGGGAATATTTTGGTCAAAATGCTTGTCCCCATTTTTGAACCCACTGTTCATCTGTGAGTGTAAATCTGAGTAGTTACTTTGAATGATCTCGTTGGGTTAACTACTCGTGTTTGCGCTTGCAACACAGTTGTGCAGTGAAAGCTCACAGACACGTAGGCGAGACCTCCCTCCAGCTGATGTGCATATAACTGAGAACACACTGTTGTTTATTTCACTGATAAGACATGCAGGAGTAAAATTTTCAAAATAACTTGGTGCTTCTGAATATTTTACCCAGAGTGAATCCACAGCAATGTCAATGGTAAAATTCCCATTGATTTAAATGAGGCGAGGATTTGACACAGCATTTATTTCTGCACACAAAATTAAGGATTCTTTTGAACACTCGGCCCAGCGTATGTGACATTTTTAGTGATGCTATACATTTACTCTGGTCAATAGAGTTGGACCGGGGTGAAAATGGTTCTGTGCATTTATTCATTTCCTTCCCTATAAATATGAAACGCGTTTGATTCAAATGTTGCCCACTGGAAAAAAAACAAGGAATATGTTCATTTCAATGAATATAGGTGGGTAGATGCAAGCGTATATTTGCACCTGCTTGTCTACACACACAGAGTGAGAAGTTTTCCATTCTGTAGTTAATCTTACCTCTTCTTCTAGATGAAAATAACAAATCTTGTTGCTCTTGAAGATATTTTTGTAGTCTTTTATATTGGCTGCAATATCATAACAAATGATGATTTGGCCATCCCAAACAACTAGTTGAGGATGACTGAAATATGCTCACAGGAGAAATCAATGGTTGTATAATTTTTTTGCCTTAGACTTGCCTTAGTGTGAAAAGCCATCGCCAAAAGTAAATCCAAGCGATTTTGAGGTAAATGTGTCAGCGAGCTGCCTTATTAAGTGATGCATGCCGTCATATACCTGGCATGAAAGGGGTTTGACATTAAGCAAATGAAAAATCCAGAGAAAGCGGCATTTTGGTGAATCCTAACCTAGGAGAGTATTGGGGTGACTCTTTGGAAGAGACCATGGGTCCTTTGGTTGAATACTTCTTATGCCGGGGAGTTGAAGGGGGCGGGGGACCCACAATCATATCTATCCTGGCAAAGTAAATAAGAAAAAAGACACCAGCAAAATGCATAATGAAGCAACACGTAGAAAGAACTTGGTCGGAAAGTTGCAGAAACATAAAGAACAACTAAAAAAATTAAAAATAAAAGACAGAGAGAGAGAGAGAGAAAATTGGAAAATATATTCCGCTCGAAACAGAATGCAGCATTATATTGCCTGATCGTTCATGGTTAATGCCAAATCTTATCTGGCCAAACATAAGATTCACGGAACTGGGCATCAAAAGAACGTCACTGCTGCTTAAAATGGGAGTCACTCTGCATATAATAGGCAACATACTGTACACACTGGAATATATTTGCATATATGTGGCAATGTCCCATTGGAAATGTCAGATATAAGACAATATATATTCTCATTTCTATTACAATGATAGATAAAACATCCTCAGCAAGGTGTAAATGAGGTACACTGTGGAATTGTACACTCAGTGAATGAAATGCATCCATGGTTGGAAAGATGTTGGAAAGGGATGTAAGCCAGGGACAGAATACCAAAAAGAACCAATTACAGACATGTCACAAGAGCAGTGACAGAGAGTTATGAATGATTCAAGAGAAAAGTGCACGTGAACACTCCCACAAGTTTGCCTGAATAAAGCTTTAACCCAGCAAAACACTGGCCACAGAGAGCTAACAATAAAGATCATCACAAATGCTGATCATCACAAACTCTCTCTCTCTCTCTCTTAGAGAGAGAACGTATTGCCTTGGTCCTTCATTGCTCTACACCAGCAGCAAATTGCATTGCCCCACTTCCCTCCCCTCTGTACCAGCTCCACTGTGCTGATCAGCAAGTTGTGGGGCGCACACAAGTCTTGTCCTCTTCCCCATCCATACCCTGCTCATTCTCCACCAACCTGTTCTGGGGACGGGGGAGTAAGTGAGAGAACAATGTCCTGCGTGCATGAGATGAAGGTCTAGGTAGCCTACCTGGGGCTCTAGGAGATAGTTTTACTCCTTCCTTCCTTCCTTCCTTCCCAGGATAGACGGAAGTATAGTCTACATCACAACCTACCCCAATGATTACTGCATTCCACTGCACGGATGGATCCGAGAGGAGCATTTGGCCTTCTCTTTCAGAACAGCCACTCCCGGTTCCACCCAAAAATCAACCAGCCAAACAACTTTCTCTTTGGAACACATAATCTCAGAACAAGAAAAATGCAGGCAGGACTGGAGAACCTTACCGGGGACAAGGTTCAGCTGAAGACCCCAAAAAGTACGGGTGCCCATCTAGATCTTCCCTAACCGAGACAGACTACTTTACTGTGCACACCTCAGCTGGAAATCTCAAAAGGAGAGATTTTACTCAAGTGATTTCATACTCTTACAGCTAAACCTGGGCTTAAGTGCTTTGCTTGACACAGTGGGTTTGTGACAGAAAGCTCAGTCCTGCTCTTTGAACAACTCTCACAATGACATGACAAATCCAGAATTAACTGGGAATATAGGTAACACACAGTATTCTGGAAACACAAGTACTTTTATGGGGAATATGAGGTAACAGGCATTGATTTATCTCCAATCGTGGCTCCATCATTTAGATTTTGAAATTAAAGAGCCAAAGACAATGTTCACTGTTTCCTGTCATATGCCTTATCCGTGCAAAGGACCCAATCTAACTCCTTGTGAAGTCAATGGAAAAATTTCCATTGGCTTCAATGGGGCTTGGAGAAAGACCCTTTTAGGCTAGAGAGTCATGTCCACTTGAACACCCATTTTGCATTTACAAGTTTGCAGAGGCAAATATTTATATGACATTACTTGGTTGCCTCTGCCTGACACACAGGCACAAGCAGTGAGTTAGGCATATAAGTGACATTCACTTTGACTGAAAGTAATTTAAGGTGCAAAGACATGCCTTGAGTTACATGTATCTACATGTTGTAGGCCGCAAAGGGCAGATTTTCTTAATTGACACGATTGAGGGTTATTTGTAAGGAGAGAGGGTACTGTTCTTACCGTCAATGGCTTGTCTCTCATCCACGGCTCATAGGTTTGAATTCAAACTTTTTCTGAGGTAAAATAATTTGGGCGTTGGAAAGGAAGGGTGGAGTTTAAAGTATCTCTCTCTCTCTCTCTCTCTCTCTCCCTCCTTTTATACTCTTCCTAATGCTTCCTCTTCCATACTGTTTAAACACAAGGAGCTCGATCCTGTCCTGTGTTAAATCCCCTTTATGCACTCCCTCGCCTATAAAACCAACTCACTACCCACGGATAGTTATACAGCCGATGTAGTTTAGTTCCTGTTCCACTGAGGCTACCCAGCCAGGCTGATAGGTGAAACTCCCATATTTTTAAGATATTCTTCCCTCACTCCCACCCAATCCAAACAGAGTTCAGATTCCTCCCACTTCCTAGGGCAAAAGATGTCAAATATTTACAAAAGTCTCTCATACTGGGGCCATTTTTCTAATAGCTCCTTTATTCTTAACAAGAGGGCCAAAAATGGTACTTTCAAAGTAGCTCCTTTATTTTATTTTGCCACTGGTAAGGACACCCGATATGCCACCCAGCCCCCGAATGGCGATGTCAAATCGTAAGTATCCAACAGCAAAGCACTGAGACATATGTCCCAAAATGTTTCTGAAAGATTTACATACACCCTGCTCTGCTCTTTGACCACATGCTGTGCCACAGGGAGGGAGGCTCTTAACATACTCTCTGTGGGAGGGTGAAATGTGAACAACCAACTTGTGTGTGTGGAGTGGGATGGGGTGGAGGGAAGAGAAGGATCCTTCAGTAAGGATTCTCTGGTGGTGCCATGGCATGGGAGGTAACACGGCTTTATGGGCACAAAGAGATGGAACCGGGTTTGCTTCTGTTTCATAACAGAGCCTGAGGCTGTTTCCGGAGCCTGTCTAGCACCCTTACCCAGAATGCCCAGCTCCCTCCCCTAGACTGGACACTTACTTGCCCTTATTCCCAATGGAAATAATGGGAACTGTAAAACTAATCTGCCCTCCAGCCACTCTGTGCTAAAAATTCACCCCTTGTGGCCAACTCGCAACCAGGAGTTATTCAGAAATCCATTGTTTTCCATTAGGCTTTTTCTTAGAAAGAAAAATAAGATGTGGGTGTTTTAAAAAAAAGGGACTTTATCTTGACCCTCTCACTCCTACCACCCACCCCTGGGGTGCAATCACAACCAACAGTGGAGTCTCTTGCCTGGACTGGAGATTTTTAATCCGGGAGAGCATATCCAAGTGACCGGCTGAATACTGCTCGATGACATCCATCACATCGTAAGGCCGAAGGCTCTCCTTGAACTTCCGTTTGGAAACAAGAAATTTCATGATGCTAGGGGAGAGAGAAAGGAAAAAATGCGATTCCTCATGCTGGAGCCATGTACTGTAGAGTGATAGGCATGCCCATGCTGCAGAGAGCGACCTGGGAACCAGAGTGGAACAAGACATTTGAAAAGCTAACACCATCTGAGGCTACTTTAGATAAAGCAGAGAGAACCAAGGCTCAAAATGTAGGGCTCCATACGCTTTCGGGGCTGCTGATCTCACTAGCCAGCTTGGCGGAAAGTCTTCCAGGTAGGGGAGGAGCCTCAGTAATGCACAGCATCCACAACCCCCAGCTTGCCCCACTGGAGATCTTGGGGGCAGACTGGACCAACCCAGCTGACCACGGGATAGGGTTTGAAGGTGCTGATTCAGTGCCTCTCCTAGGTGGCCTTCTGTGGAGTCCCACAGCAATTCAAAGCTGCTCCCCTTGGCAGAAGCCCTGGGGAGGGTAGTGGCAGTTAACAACCCCCCATCCCCCGGCCCAGAGGTGTGCAAACGGCAATCCCCAATGCCTCAAAGCTGTAATTGCTATCTGTGCGTTAAGGCATCTAGGATGGGGAAAGGGCAGCATTTTCTTAGGCTCTTTAATATCCTCCTTGTGCATTTCACGCTGATGCCAGCAGGAAGCATAGATCCAGCCAAAAAAAAAGTTAATCGTTGGAAAATATTCTCTGGTGGGTGTGTATTTTTTCCTGCTTTGATCTGCATGCTGGGCAGCAACGCATTTACTGAGGGGGCGGAAACTGCATCTATAAATCCCTGCCTCCCTGAGGATTGAAGCACAACTCCCCAACAAAGCAATGGGCCCACCCATAATCCAAGCAGTACAGAGGGGTAAAGCCCTTGGTATTTGGATGGTGCATGTTAGGTGGGGGTTCCCATTATCTGAATACTGTCTGGATCTCAGCTAGGAGCCGAATAAGAATAACAGGCCACCCCTTAGCCACAGGACATTTCTCTCCTAACAACGAGCCCTGTGCTTCTCTCTCTCTGCTTCCGTTTAGCCATTTTCTGAGGAAAGACTGATTTTTCAGACCCTCCCAGAAAATTCTTAGGGAAAATGGCTCCTCCTTTAAGACAATGGAGAGGAGTGGGACAGACAGCTACTAGGTTTCTATCAATAAATGGCTGAAAATAATAGAGCAACCTGGGCCTGGGTGGGGTGGGAGTGGCAGGGGCCTCTGGGAAAGGAAGGGAATGGCTATCCCCTGCTGACCAGGATTGCTTTCCTCAGCCTCTGATGGAAGCCTCCCGTAATGACATGATACAGTGACAAAGGGTGCCAGATGGTTAGGACATGAGCTCCAGTGGTTCCCCGTGGCTCAGAAAAAACTTCCTGAGCTGGAGGGCATGTATTATACTGGGTGATCTTGTCTGAGTGTGCATGCACACCCCACTGATCTCTAGGTGCCAGAGGACTAGAGGCTATACATCTTAATATTGTTAATACTACAGCTAATAGAGATGATCATTTAGGGCGAGTCAGAGGAGTCCATGGTTTTGACGCCCAAGGGCCTGCGTCCCCTCCCCAGATCGGCATGTGTGTGTTGTAGATGATGACTCGTATGTCTATATCTGTGCACCTATGGATTTGTTACAGTGGCCCATTTGCAATATGGTGGGTGAATTCCAATGTTTTCACTTCTTTAGCCTTGCCACTCTTGAGGTGCCCCCAAGGCGCTGGTCTAAAGCTACTCCCACAAGCCTTCCAACAGGAGGAGGCTGGGTCTAAGAATAAGACCTGGATCCTCTAGGTGGCAATTCTATTTGCTAGGGCTTAGGTCACTGGACAGGCATCTTGACTGAACAACACAGGAGAGGAGTGGAGATGAACACCGGTTCTAGCACCCATGCCCCAAACACTAAGTTTGGCTCTGGATCCAGAGCTGCATCTGAATCCTCCAGCTCTGTACGGAGCAGGAATACCAGTGCTAGACACTGCCAGATTTTTGGGACGTTCAGTCTTGGATCCAAATCCAAAGTGTGTGGCTTGTAGAGAGGGGCAGGCCAGCTGGACCCACCAATGTGAGTGGGGAAGAAGTGGGGATTTAGGTAGGGATTTTGTGTCAATACTTCTGGCAGCAAAAAAAAGGACATCCTAGCCCCAGTATCCTTCGGGTCCGTCAGCCTTGTGTGTCTTCTCTCCATCTGGTTTTGTAAATGTCAGCATTTAACCACGAAGTGAGCGATATGGTTTGGATGTATGCATCCAATGAAGTGAGCTGTAGCTCACGAAAGCTTATGCTCAAATAAATTGGTTAGTCTCTAAGGTGCCACAAGTACTCCTTTACTTTTAGAGCGTTTTCCCATTTCTCCCTTTACTCCTCCTCCAAGCAAAAACTGTTTTTCCCCGCTTAGCTTTATACAAAGGAAAACAGAGCACCTGGGGGGGATCCAGCCAGCAGCGATGGGATATGTGCGTTATTCAATGCTGCTTGGTTTACAAATACCCTTATTATTTATTTTCCTTTAACATTTCACCATGTAAGGAGGTCTCTCCATCTTCCTTCATCCCCCTCCTCCTTTTCCTTTCTTACCACACTGCCCTGATGCTGACTTTAAGTCCTGGCGTTAAATCTTCCGTCACAAACTCGCAGTTGCAGCTTTTATTATCATCCGGAATGTCTTCTCCAGGGAGACTTGCTTCTGGTTTTAAAAAAAAGAAAGAAAAAGAGAATTCACAGCTAATTAGAGAGCCCTTGCAGCAGGAGGAATGGGAGCGTCAGACTCCCAGAAGAGAGCACATGGAAGACATAAATGGCATGTTACCTTTGCATCTTAACAAAAGCTTTCTCTCCCTCTGAGCTAGGCTAAGATGACATCTGATACCACTAGTTTTAGTCCCTATCTGTCTTTAAGGGCATCATATAACTGAATGAAGCTCTCTTTTTTTTTGCTCCCACCCCAGCATCCTCATGTAAATAAAACCATACCTTATGTGCTAATAAGGGAGAGAATGAAACAGTTCAGTAAGTCTAGACGGTTCAAATCCCCTTCACCTCCTCCAAACCAGCTGGGCCAGGAAGGATCCTGTTTAAATGAACTGCCTATTATTAAAATCTTTAAGGCATAGAATGAGTAAGAATCACTGGGTATAGATTCTCCAACTTCCCTTGCTACTGGGTAATCGGTATCTGATCCCCTTTGTGGTGGCACATAGATGGTTGGAGACAAAGAGATATGCACAGAATATCCAAAAACAATTCTTGATCAAATTAGTCTGAGAAGCCTAAATATGTAAATCAGAAGGTAAATAATTTAAGGATCAAACCCCCAATATTTCCTATGTGAAGCTGATTGCCTTATACTGTACCAAGCAATGGAGATGTCCTTACTGACTATCTGCAGGATTCACTCCTGCAAGCAAAATTCCTGTTGTGGTAGCACCATGCAGATCTTCCATCCAAGCGCTGACCCGGCCTGACCCCACTTAGCTTGGGAGGAAACCAAGAGGATGGCAGTCCATGGTGACAAGGCAAAATGGCTGCCCTCAGAAGCTCTCACCTTCAGAGTTCTGTCGAGACGCAGCTCCCTTGATCCGGAATGCTTGCCGGGCTCGGCTCCGGTCTCCGAAGCTCCAGCTTTTGGGCACCTTGCTCGGGCTATCTTCAATGCTCTGATCAGCGCTGGGGGATCTCCGGAGGCTCTGAGCCTGTGGAGAGCTTTTCCCTTTAGTTCCAGAACCTCGGGGACTGGAGAAGACACGGTCTTTCAAACTGACCTTCTGACTATTCATGGAAACAAATTGAAACAAAGACAAAAAGGAGACAGCAGGAGGAGTCACTCTGGAAACCGAACGTCCCTTCCCCTTCAGTCCTTAGAAAGCCACGGCATTACAAAGCAGCAGTGAGATGTGTCCAGTTTTCATTTTTTTAGAGCATTTCAGAATGGTTTCCATCATCATGAATGAAATGTGAGGGGTTGTTAATTGGGAAAAAATAATGGAAGTTTAAACAGAAACCCCTCCTATTATTAGAGGGCAAGCTGAACAGAATGGCATGAAACAATGATGCTGATGATTCCTTAAATAATTTATTAGTTCCTATCAAGAGTTATGATGCTTTTTTCCACAGTTTCCCTCAAAAATCCTTTTTCAATATATTTTCAAAATATTAACAAAAGTTTACCAAAAATGTTTCAAAGTAAAATTAAAAAGCTATTTATGTCTTTTCAGGCCAGTCACCTGTTCCTTTTCCCCTACCGCTCCCACCATCTTTCTACCGACTGAAAAAGTTCTCAACCCATTTTCTATCTTCAGGTTAAAATAAAAATCTTTTTTCTATACGTGTAATGAATGTTAACTACACAGTTGTGAATTAAAATCCTAATAAGGATTTGAGGTTAAAAAGCGCTTGCATATTTACTAGGGCTGCTCAAATATTTGCAGCAAAATTGGAACACTTCAAAATCTGAGACGTTTGCATTTAATTGCAATTTCTTTTAAATGATCCAATTTTATTGCAAAATATTCTGGTTTTTGCTCGAAAACCATCCTGTTTTTGAAGTAAAGATGATTCCCACTGATAAACAGTGGAGCCAAACCTCTCTATTTTCAAATTTCTGAATTCTGAAATTTCAAATGAGGATGATGAATTTTCTCATGAAACTTGCAAAAAATGATTTTGTGAAACTTTATGAAAGGGGCAAAAATTGATAATTGCAACATTCCCAGGAACAAAACTGAAAATATTTTTAGTTTTGCATAGACCTAATATTTACCAAATATGACCTGATTATTAACAGAAGATATTTATTGAGAATAGATAACTACTACAAAGCACTTCCTCGTTTATCCAATATTTTATATGAATGTAAATAAGTAAAATTCAGATGTAATTTTGAAGTGGTTTCTACCACAATAACAGTTAAAATTCTGCATTGGAACATCTTACAAATTCAGCAACCGAGGTGCACATGAACTGACTGAATCAAGTAGCTTATTATGCTTAGGAAGGTGAATCAGAGAGAAGGGTATTGTGGGAATCTATCCTATCTGAATGACTTCTAGGTCAAACTTGCTTAGTTAAAGTAGCAAAGATTTATTTTTTTTAGCTGTCAGTGCCGCCACCTCAGATCTAAAAATTAAGCTGCCTCTTATTTCATCATTAATAATAAAGATTCTGCAGTTACAATATAGCTGTGGATATGCGAGACAGCTTTATCGGCTGCGCTGCGCTACGCTGCCAGGAGTGAGCATTTGGTTTTGTCATTAAAGGAACCAGACACGCAGGGGGCTGATCCCTTGTGCTATTTTTATACAGTCGCTTTATATTGTGAAACCTCATTGTACAGACTGATCCAAATGCTTAACTACAACTCTAATTCTAAGAGCAAAACACAAGTGCCATAAATTAGAAGCACAGATAAGGCTACTTTTTAAAGCTGGTCCTAAATGAAGGGTGTTCTTGGAGCCTATTCATTTGGAAGGCTCATTTCCATGTACAATTACTCATGTACAGTTCGAATTTCTTTATTCTACAAGGTCTGTTTAAATGTTTTATCTGACGAAGTCTGCCGAAAGCTAAAATCCAGACTTCAACCCTATCTCTTAGCGCTTCATCCTGAGAGGTGCTGCTGCATGCCCGAATTAGTTTGCTTGAGAATTGTGCATACTCAGCATGTAAAGATTGTTTATCCATAAGAACAACAATACTGGATCAAAGGCCCAACTAGCCCAGTATCCTGTCTTCCAACAGTGGCCAATGCCAGGTGCCCCAAAGAGAATGAACAGAACAGGGAATCATCAAGTGATCCATCCTCTGTCGCCCGTTCCCAGCTTCTGGCAAACAGAGGCTAGGGACCCCATCCCTGACCATCCTGGCTAATAGCCATTGATGGACCTATCCTCCATGAACTTATCCAGTTCTTTTTTGAACCCTGTTATAGCCTTGGCCAGGGGTCGGCAACCTTTGGCACCTGGCCCATCAGGGTAAAGCTGCTGGCAGGCCGGGCCAGTTTGTTTATCTGGAGCGTCCGCAGGCATGGAGCCCCGCAGCTCCCACTGGCCGCGGATCGCCGTTCCCGGCCAATGGGAGCTGCAGGAAGCAATGTGGACCAAGGGACGTGCTAGCCACTGCTTCCCACAGCTCCCATTGGCCAGGAACGGCAAACCACAGCCAGTGTGAGCTGCGGGGCTCCGTGCCTGCGGACGCTCCAGATAAACAAACTGGCCTGGCCTGCCAGAGGCTTTACCCTGATGGGCCGAGTGCCAAAGGTTGCCGACCCCTGGTCTTGGCCTTCACAACATCCTCTGGTAAGGAGTTCCACAGGTTGACTGCACTTTGTGTGAAAAAATACTTCCTTTTGTTTGTTTTAAACCTGCTGCCTATTAATTTCATTTGGTGACCTCTAGTTCTGGTGTTATGAGAAGGAGTAAATAACACTTCCTTATTTAATTTCTCCACACCATGGAAAATCACCAGTCATGGATTTTATAGACCTCAATCATATCGCCCCTTAGTTGCCTCTTTTCCAAGCTGAAAAGTCCCAGTCTTATTAATCTCTCCTCATATGGAAGCTGTTCCATACCCCTATAATTTTTGTTGCCCTTTTCTGAACCTTTTCCAATTCCAAGATATCTTTTTTGAGATGGGGCAACCACATCCGCATTCAAGATGTGGGCATACCATGGATTTATAGAGAGGCAACACAATATTTTCTGCCTTATTATCTATCCCTTTCTTAATGATTCCCAACATTCTGTTTGATTTTTTGACTGCCACTGCAAATTGAGGGGATGTTTTCAGAGAACTATCCACAATGACTCCAAGATCTCTTTTTTGAATGGTAACAGCTAATTTAGACCCCATCATTTTATATGTTTCCCAATGTGCATTACTTTGCATTTATCAACACTGAATTTCATCTGCCATTTTATTGCCCAGTTGTCCTGTTTTGAGAGAGTCTTTTGTAGCTCTTCGCAGCCTGCCTGGGACTTAATTACCCATCACTGAATAAAACTGGGCCCTTATTCTGGTGGCTCCAATCCCATTTCCCAAGTAAATATGTTGCAAAAGTTTCCATGAACTAAGGATGGCAAATCAAAAAACACTGAATTTCCTACAGATCATGAGAGAGAGGAATTTCATATTAGGACATCACAAGGTGAAATATTTTACTCATTAAAAATATCACTCATGAATCTGAGGAACATTTAAAATCCATTCAGGTCTGATCCCTGAGTACTCAAACTCTCGACATTTGGAATGCCTCCAACATTCCTTTGTATTAAACAAACAAACATTAACAATAAAGACAACATTGGTAATCCATTAAGGTTTTCCTTCTGCCATGCAATTTTTTCAGTGTAAAAGCTGACTACAATCCGCATGCAGACACAGGCCCTGCAGTGGAAAATGCAGGTGAGAGGCGGCCGGAGCTGGGGAGGGAAGAATGCAAAAGAAAAGCAAATGCTTTCAGCAAATCTAAGATCATGTCCTCATCCAACCAGAACGTCATGCAAGGAGAGGTGCAGTGTGTCAGAGAAGTGATACTTAGATGCCAACCACGCAGATGGTAGATGGACATTATTTGGTTGTACAGTATGTGCGCTGAGTGGAAGGGGAAAGGGAATGGTTATCCTGACACACACAACTGCAAGAAAGGAGGCTTGTAACTGTGACTCTTGCATGAACTGAGGGAGAATGGGACATTCATTCTGCCTGTTCTAAGGGCAAGGGAGGAAAAAGCGAATCACAAGGTTTTGTAACCTGTACCAAAATCTATGGGAAATACTAATAGAATCAGATGGTCTGGCCGGTTCCTGTATCAAAATGAGGTAGCCACTCTTGGTTAATATTTGTTTCAAACCCATTTTTTTATTATTATTAAAAAAAGAACCCTACAGCATTACTGCACAGACTTAAATGAGAATTTGCTCAGCATTTAACCTGAATCCAGTGAAGGGTGGAAACGTATAATTTACCTTTTCTCTGTTACTGAAATGTTCTTTTACTTTCTAACGCAGGTTCCTAGCAAATATCTATGCCAATAAATGAAAGTCCATACTTGACTAGCGCACTTAGGGGCCTAATCCAAATTCCAGTGAAGTTAATGGAAAGACTCCCACTGACTTCATTGGGCTTTGGATTGGGACCATCTGGCATGTGATGATTACAGCAGTCACCAGAAAAGTGGTTAAGAACTAACCCTCTGTGTACATACACAACACAGAACAGTTGGTTGACACACAATGTGCTTATGGATATTGATGGTTTAACTTCTTGTTGGAAATCTCCTGGGTTTTGTGGGTTCGTTTCATAGCCTTAGCAATCTCCTGATGTTCTGTTTTTGCATTCCCTTACTCTTTGAGGATTTCCTGCATTCACAGTAATTTTGGATTAATAAAAATGACTACCTACAGTTTTTGTCATGTATTTGAAATTACACTCTTCCAGCTGCTTCATTTTCTCCTTTTGCCTGCATATAACAAAATACTAGCCAGACTGATCAATACCATCCAATATGCCGTGTTGTTGTAGCCATGTTGGCCCCAGGATATTAGAGAGACAGGATGGGTGAGGTGGTATCTTTTATTGGATCAACTTCTGTTTGGTGAGAGAGACACAGAAGTTGGTCCAATAAAAGATCGCTCGCCCGCCTTGTCTCTCCAATACCATCCGGGACTAAATAGTCATTTATATGCGAACTCAGCTGGCAATAATACATGTTCTACTGAACAGTATATCCAGGAGAGGGAGAGAGAGAGAGAGGAAAATTATGTTCTGTT